AAATATATTATGCAATTCAACGCGTATAGCCTCTCCGCCTTCCCGGTGCTGATTGTCGCCCACAAATACCCGCACCCTATTATAACCACTGATCAGAATAATCAATAACGATTGGTACATCTAAAATAAATGTGAACTAGATATTAATTATGGACAATATGTTATACTCAATTTAAACATAAATAACTTGATGTTTTCTGACGTTAGTTAAAATGGCATTGATAACACCAAGGGCTCTTTAGCAGCGGGCTTCACTAGTTGGGGGTTTTTGTGAAACCGTGAAATTGGGGACGGGAATTTTTATAAGATAAAATTATGTAAAAATAAGTATCAGATTATAAAGAATGCATATCGAAAATGCATACGTGAAGTAAATAGATGTTTATAAATGTATAATTTATAAGATTTATCAAGATTTATAAGTCGGATATTTTGCTTTCCATAGAATAACATTGGGAAATAGTGCCAAAGTGTTTTTGGGGGTTGATCACTTCGGGCGACGATTTCTCGGGAACCACAATAGTTACGACAAAAAACTAACGTCATAGAACATCGGGTTATTTATGTTTAAGTTGAGTATATGTATAACAGGTATTAATTATAGATCAAGTATAAATAAAATCTACATGGTTAGCAATAACTAATAAGACTAGTCAGCAATCATATCCTTTAATGTTGTTTTACTGTTTATCATTAATCAAAACACCAAAAATTAATAATGTAATTTTACAACAATCAAATACAATACATACTCGTAATTAGTTACCCGACGACAATACTGGGTCGCAAATAAATTATATGATGGCCACGTAAGTAGCTGTCAGGCAAACGGCCCACACAGCATAAATTACTTGTGTCATCTCCCTCTGAGTCGCTTGAGCCGTAGTATTCCCGAGTATACTCTATTGATCGGCGCATCCTTTATTGGGTACCCTAAGTCATCGGATATATCCATTGTTTTATTTTTGAATGTATTGTGAAAACATGGCGTCGAATATTTAGCGGCATATATTTGTGGCACATATCGGAGCCCACAGTCATCGCCAGTGATGTTTGAATTGGAACCCAATTTCACATACATTCCCATAATTGCTGTGAATTTGTGTAAATTGTATAAAAATTGTAAATTAATTAAATTTAAGATTACATACTTTTACACACAATCATAAAAATCACTATTTTATACATTTTCCCCAAATATGACAGTTATTTAAAAGCAAATTCAAAAGAAAAAACTAAAATGTAATAATTAATCCAAAATAGTTGATTCAAATTATTGTAAACGATGTTTATATCATTTAAAATGAATGAATTTAAATGTTTAAATCATTGACTCATTTGCAACAAATAAATTATCGAGATTTTTATTTAAATTTTAATTAAATAATTGTGTTTTTATTGATGGTCTCTGTAATCCAGTTCACATGTAAAGCCACGGGAACCCAATATTGGCTCGTTATGTGTTCGTTGCACAGCAGGGGATCGCTATCATTAATGTCTTTTGTATAATAATAATTGTGTTTTTATTGATGGTCTCTGTAATCCAGTTCACATGTAAAGCCACGGGAACCCAATATTGGCTCGTTATGTGTTCGTTGCACAGCAGGGGATCGCTATCATTAATGTCTTTTGTATAACTGGCCACACCTACGATAACAGCCCGCGACCGGTGTCTGTCCACGTACTGAACCAATGGACCCCCGGAGTCACCCTTCACTCGCATAACATAAATGTGAATTAACTTAATTTTATAATTGAATTAATATACACACCTGACAAATCCTATCAAATGTTGTAGGAGCCTTTTCTAACCGAGAACACAATAGCGCATTGCAGGCAACGTTATTGCTATCTAAAATCACCTCGGCCCTTTGCAGCATTTTGGCCCTCCAGACCTTGCGTTTTGTACTAAACAACAATCCCCAACCAAACCCTGTGGCACACTCTTTGTCCCAATTGAGTCCCATATTAGATAAGTTGTATTGCGGTAGACATACAGTGTTGGCCTTATACACCTGGTAGTGAACCGACTCCTTGTACTGAACCGACTCTATCGACCCGTTTATATTGATGTCAGTGTTTAACTTATAGAGCGCTATATCGTAGAGATCACGACCAGGTTTATAATTTTTGTGTAGAAACATATTATGCAGTTCAACGCGTATAGACTGTCCGCCTTCCGTATATGGTTTTGTTGAACGTCACCGATCGGCCCATGTATTGCCTGATACCGGAAGACAGTAAGCCGTCCGTCGAGTGCACCGCCGATAAACTTAAGCCGTTGTTTGAACACTGTTTTCCAACCACTCGACCGTCGATCAGTACCGGTGCTCCCAATGGTAGTGCCATCTCAACCGGTGCTCCCAATGACAGCTTTATCTCAACGGGTGCTGGTGTTGGACACGACTCGACCATTATTGAGGCCACCGTTCAGTCGTCGTTCACAACCGTCGGACCGAAAGCCGTGGTCTCATCGGGCGATTCAGAATCGGGTCTCAAAACAATACTTTTCATAGTTTTGGCAATAGTTGTGGCGATTTGTGTGGTATTAGGCATTGCTATAGTGATGGTTAAGCGCCGACAGTCGGGCGCCGAGTCCTCGCAAATTGTCAACAAAGAGTCCTCGTCTTCAGCCAAAGCCAACGTAGAGTCGTCTTAATGTGTGAATGCATTTATGACCGCCTTTTTTGTCATTCATTTCACTGTATTTTCAAATTGTATTTTATTTAAATTGTATTGTTTTTCTTATTATAGTATTTGTATCTATTTTTTGTGTTTTATTTAATAGTATTTTCCCAAACATTTGTTGTAATAATTTAATAAATTGATTGCATTTATTGATTGATTTGCAAAACTTTTTTAAATTAAAATATTAATATCTATTATCATAGCTTTGATACAACTATCTACTAGTAACTAGGGCATAATTATAAATTATTATTGTTTACTAATTAATTACCTTGGTATTTATATTATTATGTGGTTACTCTACAATTTTTAAATGTCATTCCAAATTAAAATCAATACTAATCTTATTATACTGAATATTAAATGTATATTTTTATAATTTTTATGCAAATATTAGCTTTATTATCAATATTTGTTTTGACATTTTTAATGATACAATTAATTCAAATGTAATTCCTAAAATAATACTGCATATCGATTTACTTCATTTAACATATGTAACATTTTATAAAGATGTAAGATGTAAGATGTCACTTAAGATGTAACACTTTATATTAAAATTTAACCTAATTTTTAACATTTATTATCAAAATTTGATAATTTGTTTAATAAATTTATTTCATTTAGATTTTGTGAAATATTTTCAATATAATTATACAAAATGTTGGAATATTACAAAAGTAATCAAAACTCATTGAATACATGGATTATATTTTGCCATTTATTCAATGTTTGTAAATATGTTTTCATTTCATTTGTGGATTTAGACTACAAAACGAGATTAATGTTATTTGATTTTTGGCTGTTTACGGGTGGCATTCAATCATTTAACGCATTAATAATCACCATGGGTATGTCCTGGTGTATATTAATCAGGATAATATTTCACACCCCAATATTATTGAGAAAAATGAATTATTGGACACAACTATTTGATGTAATAAATGGTAGATTAAGTGCTCGTGTATTGCATTTGAATGATAGACACAAAGGTATTGTTTGTAAATTACGATCTAGGGCATCAATCTTGTCAATTATTTATTATGCTTTTTCATGGTTTGCAGGTATGATAACAATTATTAATTGTATCAAGCTAATTATTTATACTATATAAAATTTGTCTATTTAGTTATAGTATATGCAATGATATTCACATTAATCTGCATTAAATACTATTCATTGAAACAATTTATTCAGACATTTATATTCATCACCGCAATATCTATATCTGTATATCACTGTTGTTTTGATTTATTTAAAACAACTATAAATTTTTATATAATTATTTATTATTTTCAATTGAGAAGCAATTTATTGAACGCCAATATAAGACAATTAAATCAAAAATTATTTATTAAAGCTTCAAAAATTAAGTATATTTTTATTGAACACAACGTTATTTGCTATCAAATTGAAATGTTTAATAAGTTTTGGCAAATTGTGTACTTTTCATTTGTTATAACAATGATGGTGATAAATATATTACTTTTAATCGTGATTATGTTTAGTCAATTAGAATTATTCACATTTATACTATTTGTTTACGCATTTATTTACACCTGGGTCAATATATTCTTCATCTCCTATTGTGCATCAATGGTATCAAAATCAGTGCATTTATCACATAATAGTCTGATTTCAATGCAATTCTTGATTAAATATAAAAGTGATGTTAAGTTAAAACTAATGGCATTTATAGAGAAATTACTGTCAAAACAACTCATAACTGGTTTTTCTGTCGGAACTCTATTTGTAATGACTTTTCCTAAATTATTATTTGTATGTATTTATCATTACTTTAATTATTTACAATTTATTAATGATAAACCTGCTTATCCTTTTTAATTATAGATAACCGTAAAGTATTGCCATTATTTCATGTTAACTACAAAACTTTCTTAAATATTTTTTAAAGTATTTCTGTTTATAATAAAATGTTAAACTAGTTTAGATTCGCGAGAATTAATAAATTTACCATGTAAATGCCATATATTTATATCATTATGTTATTATTTAAAATGTATTATTAAACATAAATTGCTTTTGTAAAACTAACTGCCAGTTTCGTTTAAAATGTATAAAATATTGCTTTTTATGATTGTCTCTAAATGTTTGTATATTTCAAATACTGTATATTCATCGCAATTATTAACACATTTTATACCAAATTCATAGCAATTGTGGGAATGTATGTTAAATTGGGTTACAATCCAAACATCACTGGCGATGACTGTGGGCTCCGATATGTGCCCCAAAAATATATCATATATTATCCGACAAAATGTTTCACAAATGCAGTCAATAATGAGACAATGGATGACATTTTTGGTGTCTTTCGTTACCCAATAACCGATGCGCCGATCAATAGGGTATACGCGGGAAGTGATGCCGAGTTCGCTGAGTCTCCCTATACTGTGTTCATTAAATTCGACACACCCGGCAAAGTGGGCGCCATTACGTGCACCGGTAGTATACTAAACAAACGCTGGGTCCTGACAGCAGCCCATTGTAATTACAAGTATGTGTTGTAGTATATTGTTTTAAAATTGTATTATTAATTATTTGTTACCATTATTGACAAACAGTAAAACAACATTAAGGGATATATACAATAGGATTCGGGTGTTTGTGGGCGACAATCAGCACCCGGAGGGCGGAGAGTGTATACGCGTTGAATTGCATAATATGTTTCGACACCCGGATTATAACCCACATCTTGATCTCAACGACATAGCCCTCTATAAGCTAAACACTGACATCGATATAAACGGGTCAATAGAGTCGGTTCACTATAAGGCAAACACTGTATGTCTACCGCAATATGACATTTCTAATCTCGGACTCAATTGGGAACGAGAATTTGCCACCGGATTTGGTTGGGGACAGTTGTACAGCACAAACAACATGGTCTGGAGGGCCAAAGTGTTGCAAAGGGCCGAGGTACTTTTAGAGGGCCTTAACGTTGCCTGCAATTCGCTATTATGTTCACGCCTTGATTGGGTGCCTGAAATGATTACCAGGATTTGTGTGGTGTGTATATAATATTATTTCAATAAAAATTATTTAATTTAATTCACATTTATTGTTATGACATTAAAGGGTGATTCCGGGGGTCCATTGGTTCAGTACGTGGACAGACACCGGTCGCGGGCAGTCATAATAGGTGTGACGAGTTATATCTGGACCATTAATAACACCGTGTTGTGCAACGCCAACATACATAGCCAATACTGGACTCCCGTGGCTTTCCATGTAAACTGGATTACAGAAACCATTAATAATAATACAATTTATTAATTAAAACTTAAATAAAACTCGCGATAATTTATTTCTTGCAAATGAAACAATCATTCAAACATTCAAATTCAATCATTTTAAATGATTTAAAGTTATTTCTGTAAACAAATTTGGATTAATTTTCTCTATTTTTCTTTTGCTTTTAAATAACTGTCATATTTGAGGGAAATGTATAAAATACTGATTTTTATGATTGTGTGTAAAAGTATGTTATCTTAAATTTAATTTAATTACAATTTTAATACAATTTACACAAATTCACAGCAATTGTGGGAATGTATGTGAAATTGGGTTCCAATCCAAACATCACTGGAGATGACTGTGGGCTCCGATATGTGCCCCAAATACGTGCCACTAATTATTCAAAAAAATGTTTTCAAAATACATTCAATAATAAAACAATGGATATATCCAATGACTTTCGGCCCCAATAAAGAATGCGCCGACCAATAGAGTATACTCGGGAAATGATGCCGAGTTTGCTGAGGCTCCGTATACTGTGAACATTAAATACGACACACCCGGCAAACGGTTTGCCAGTTTGTGCACCGGTCCCCAATAAAGAATGCGCCGACCAATAGAGTATACTCGGGAAATGATGCCGAGTTTGCTGAGGCTCCGTATACTGTGAACATTAAATACGACACACCCGGCAAACGGTTTGCCAGTTTGTGCACCGGTAGTATACTAAACAAACGCTGGGTCCTGACAGCAGCCCATTGTAATTACAAGTATGTCCTGTATTTTATTATTTTAAAATTATGGTATTAATTTGTTTGTGGTTTTCATTCATGATAAACAGTTACACAACATTAAAGGATATACATGAAAGGGTGCGGGTGTTTGTGGGCGACAATCAGAACCCGGAAGGCGGACAGTCTATACGCGTTGAACTGCATAATATGTTTCTACACAAAAATTATAAACCTGGTCGTGATCTCTACGATATAGCGCTCTATAAGTTAAACACTGACATCAATATAAACGGGTC